CCCCCTTTTTTTTTTTTTTTTTTTTTTTTTTTTTTTTTTGGTACGGGGGATCGAACTTGGGTCTTTGCGCTTGCAAAGCAGATGGCAGAACCACTGAGCTAAATCCCCAGCCCTCTACCCCCATTTTGCTTACCAAATGCCTGGGTCATACACATGACTTAGCAAGAGGGCTGGCTTAGAACTAATAAAAAGGTATTTAAGTAACACTGCAATGATTGAGGTGACCATACGGGGACAGTTTAGGTTCAGAAACACTGGTTATAAGGCTAGGCTGTGTTTATCTTTCCTTTTTATCTTCTTTTTTCTTCCTTTCTTTGGATTGGTTTGAAATCTTGTCATTCAGACAGAGCTGGGGGGTTTTTTGTTTGTTTGTTTGTTTTTTGTTTTTTTAACAGGACTAAAGCCCATGAGAACTATGTCCTGATGGCCCTGGTTGACTATGTTCATGGGGCCCTACCAAGGCTGTGTGAGAGGAAAGGATAAGACTGTCCCCAAGAAGGGGGTGAGAAAAGAATTGAGATGTGCTATATACATGGACCAACTCCCCACACATTAGTGCAGTCACCTATTGTAGTAGTCTACTGATAAAAAAAGTTTTGTTTTGTTTTGTTTTGTTTTGTTTTTTAAAAAAGAAGGTCTCCACCCTCACATAGCCGGTGGAGGGCTGGGCTTTCATAAAACTGTGCCAGCCCCTTCCAGTCCCCCTTCTGTCTCCCTTAGACAGAAGCTTGCTTTCTCTCAATAAATTTTCCTACTCTTATAAAAAAAAAAAAACAAAAAAAAACTGTGCCAGCCCCTCAGCAAAGCAGGGTTTTTTTTTCCCTCAGCAAGGTGGAATGCCAGGCTGGGTCATATAAGTCACCAGCACAAAGGCCCATCATGTCTCTGTCTGCACTGAAGAGAATGCCAAAGCAGCAGACTAGAAATACTAGCACTTTTCAGATCTGCAGAGCAAGTAAATGTCCATGTAAAGAACAATGTGGAGTTGCTGGCTCAGAGCACTGGACTCCAGAGTCAAACTATCTCGGTTCCAATCTCAGCTTTGCCCATTCGTAGCTTTGTAATCTCGGGCAGGTTACTGGACCTCTCTGTGCTACAGTTTCTTCACTGGTAAAAGAAGAGTCAGCATCACCGTATTCTTCACATAATGCCTGGTCTCACAGGAAGCGCTCAGAGTATGGTAGTTGCCATCATCAGCAACCAGCTATATGGCCTCAGATAAATTATTAAGCTTCTCTAAGCCTTGGTTTTTCTTATCTGGACAAGGCACACAAAACATTGCAGGACTGTGTCAACAGAGGAGAAAATGTCCGTGAAAAGAGCTGGCTTGACTGGTGCCACACGGCAGCTTCTGTTATGACTGACGGAAGCGAGCGTAGCTGTGCCGTCCATGCAGCGGGCACATCCCTGGTGCTGGGGACAGAGCTGGGTCTCAGACTTGGAGACTCCAGCGAAGGCAAAGAGAACTGCCTCTGAGTGGTTCCTCATTCTGTATCTGTCATTCTGACCCAAGGGGGAGGTAATTCCAGCTGTGCTGGGGAATGCGGAGCCAACCAGAGGCACACACCAGACTGAGGTGGGCGGGAGGGAAGAGTCGGCACAAAAGTTAAGAGTGCAGAGTTGTGGGACAGGGACAGGAGGTTCGAGGAGAGTTCTGAGGCCCCTTCTCCACTCTGGGGATGGGGAATTAGGGGATGACCCAACCTTGGCCATCAGCCTCACTGTGGGGGAAAGCTGCTATGCTGATGGGAAGATTCAGCTGTGTGGGAAAAAAAAAAAATCTGCTGGTTGTGTAAGAAGCTGGGGACATTCTCCGACCTCTCCCAAGGCCCTGCACAGGGCCATGTGAACACAGCCAGCTGAGCCCATCAGGATCTGGTTCAGGTACGTGCCTCCTTGGGGTTGACGAGAATGCTGCCCCAGCAAGTTCCGGGCCAGGGCCAAGCCCATACAGGACAGAATCTGTGTGCTAGTTCTCACTTCACAAGAAGGAGTCACGGCCACTTCCTGAGTGATGGGAATGCAGACTGAATCTCCACCGCCCTTCCTGCTCCACCCCACAGGGCCCCACCGCTACTCTGTCCTTTCTGCGTTTATCCTCTACAGTTTCATGCTTTGTCACTGCTCTTATGCTGTTTCCTGTGTTTTTGTTGGCTTTGCCAAGTCCCTTTGATTCTTTCTGAGTGCAGAAAACCTACCCCTCTCATTCCCATTATGTTTCTGGTAAAGAGGCGACGTGGTCTAATACCCAGAAGTCCCTTTCCGGCCAAAGGCAAATGGAAACAGCTTTCTCTCTCACAGTTCTTAAACATCATTCTCTTATCCCATAAATCAAGGATTAGAGTTTTCTCAGGCCGAGATGACAACCACAGGGATCAACAACCACCCAAAGATATCACTGGCAGTTCAGGGGGCTAGGGAGAAAGGGAAAGGGATTTAGGAGTAGGAGGAGAGCCAAGAAACAGGAAAGGAGGACAGAAGAAATGAAATGTGTATGTAAAAGTCCATGAGACCCCTGGGAGAGCCTCAGCCTGGGCCCAAGGCTGCCTTGCAGAGTTCACACCTCTTGTTCATGTGTATGGGATTAAGTTACGGTCAGGATTGACCACAGATCGTTGCTGACCCATTTTTTCTTGGACGGTCTCTGCCCTGCCTACACAGAGGTATCCTGACTCATGGGGTTGTGTATTTATCATCAGGAAACGCCCGGAGGTTGTGACGGTGACTGGGTGGCAGGCGCCAGTTATATGGGAAGACACCTACAATACAGCCGTCCTAGAAAGTTACTACTCCAAACGTAAAATCACCGTGGGGTTGACAGTCTTTGCGACTGGAAGGTAGGTGTCGCTGACAAAACTGTCTTTGATTTTTCTTGTTCTACTGTCAAAAACGCTTGTGAGGGGACCCTTGGCTTCCACAGAGATTACTCAGGACTCAGCTGTTGGACAGGAGAATGTTTAAGCAGGGCCATTTCAGCCTCCTCTCTGCTGAGATACCAAAAGGCTGAGAACAAAACAATAGTAGGTGAGTCCTCTATTGCCACTTCAAAGGCTTAGGTATTCGGTGACAAGCAAAAATGTTTCTAAGGGCCACCAAGCCCAGAACAACAGCGCCTGACCACACTACCAACCTAGTCTTCCCTGACTTCCATGGCTTTCTTTGGGAACTCCCAAGATAGTGCTGTAGACTTCCCAAATGTGCAACATTCTTTTCCTACACTCTAAAGGCCCAGGACAAGGGCTGAGGAATTTACGGCCAGTTTAAGTACAGAAGGATTTTCCTTGTTGCCACATGGCTAACCACACTTCCTTGGCTTCCTTGGGTTGTGTCCACTTGATCCTTCTGGCGGGTGTGGCCCTGGGAGACGGGCTGGTCAGAATCTCCTCTTTCAGAGGCTGGACAGATTCCAGTTCCAGCTTCCATTCCCTGGTTCAGAACATTTGATACATAGGAAAAAAAAAAAAAAAAAAAAAAATTGCAGTAAATCTCCCTTGAAAGTCGAGGCTTGAATACTAGTTTTGAAATATGACCTATTTTACTTTTCTTGGAGAATAAAAACAAGTTTTTTTTCCAAGGTAAAACGGAAAATGCAATTTGCCTATGTTTTTCTGCCCCTTGGGCCTTTCCATCTGAACCTTTTCTGAAAAAGCTGCATGGAAAGTTGACTCCACTGTTTTGTAGTGAGTTGAAGGCTCAGGCTGATCTGAGCTTAAGCACGACATAGAGTCTAAAAGAGATCTCTGAAAAACTAGTAGTAGCTCTCTAGCCACAACTTTCTCCAGCCACAACTTTCCCCAGCCTAGGGCCCAGCAGCCATTGCTGTCACTGCCCTTAACAATACAAACCAAGTTCTAATGCTGCAGACTGTGCTTCAGGACCCCACATATCTTTAATAGGGAAGGTGACAGTGGGAATCTTGCTGTTTTTTACTAGAGGAATGTGCAGCACTGTGGGATAGGAGCCAGTGCTCAATTCACCCAGTCCTTTGGCACAAGCAGGAAAGCCAGCTGCATTGCATATTGATTTGATCCTGGAGCTTCTGCGAAGAACAGAATATTGCCCACTGCCCCACAGAATCTTTAGCCATCCATTTGCAACTCTGCAGAACAGAACAGTCAACTGCACATCCTGGCAGCAGGGCTGTCACTCAGCTGTGCGGCAAGAGAGGGTGGCTTTGTACTTGGCAGCAATACATTCCCACGAGTGGATCAGGCCCTGCAGGAGGTGTGATGTTTGGTTTGTTTTCCCGTAACAATGCACAAAGCCAACTACAATACTTTAGCCTCTAAATAATGTTAAATCTCAGTGACTACCCCCCCAGCTCCACCCAATATTGTTTCCCATGCTTTGGGGACACTCAGTGGTTGTTAAAGTTTCAGAAAATAGAAGAATGCCCTGGCCACCAGCCACAGCCATGTTAAAGTTCCTCTTTGTGTTGCTCAGATCTGTTCTCTTCCATTGACAGAATCAATACTGTAAATCCTTGGGTTTTTAGATGCTAACAGTAAAAGTACAGCTTGTTTTGATGGCAAAGACAGGAAAAATCACACAGCAAGAGAAAGAAAAAAAAAAAAAGTGCCAGGCACAATTACTTGCAAAACATCGTGATTGGCTGGTATTGTGATCAGAAAGTTAAATCTGGTCCACATTCACTGTGCATGAGTTTGGGGTTCGGATAAGTGTATTAAGTCATCTAACTTCTCCCTTTCTGCTATGACCTTCATGGCATGGCTTCATGAGACAGTCTGTAGCCTGAGCTCACACACGACATCAATATAATGTTATTTGAATGAATAGATAAATAGTTAAAATACCACCATGTGCCTGTTAGAATGGCCAAAAAACAAAAAAACAAACAAATGAAAAAAACTGGCAATACCAAGTGTTGAAAAGAATGTAGGGAAACAGGAACTCTCATTTATTGCTTGTGGGAAGCAGAATAATTTAGCCATTTTTGGAAGAAAGTTTGAGTTTCTTACAAAACTAAACATACGCTTACCGTACAATCTAGCAGTCACACTCCTTGGTATTTACCCAAATAAGATGAAAATATGTCCACTTAAATCCTGTATACAGATACTTTTAGAAGTTTCATATATATTGGCAGAACTTGTAAGCAAACAAGTTGTCCTTAGATAGGTGAATGGGAAAATAAACTGCTACGTACAGACACTAGGATATTATTCAGTGGTTTAAAAAAGTTAACTATCAAGCCATGAAAAGACATGGAGGAATCTGGCATGCATGTTACTTGGACAGAAGCCAGTCTGAAATGGCTCATGCTAGGGGCCGGGGATTTAGTTCAGTGGTTCGGTGGCCTGCCTTGCAAGAGCAAGGACCCAAGTTCAATCCCCGGTACAAAAAAAAAAAAAAAAAAGAAAAAAGAAAAAGAAAATAGTGCAATGGCTCATGCTATATGCATCTAACTCTGATGTTTTGTAAAAGGCAAAACTATAGAAACAGCAAAAGAGATCACTGTCTGTGGGCGCAGGGGGATGAGGATTTTTAGGGTGTGAATCTATTCTGAATGGTACTATAATGGTAGACATATATCATTGAACATTTTCCAAAGCCCATGAAATGCACAGCACCACAAGTGGACCCTAATGTAAACCATGGACTTTAGGTGTTAGTGCCCTATTATTGTGTGCTCGTTGATTGTAAGAAACCCACCATGCTGGTGCATGGAGTTGGTAGTGGGGAAGGCTGTATGTATACACACAGGCAGGAAGGTTAAGAATTGAACTGCTGTGAATTGAAAATTGCCCTAAGAAATAAAAACTTTTCTTTCTTTTTCTTTTTATTTTTTAAAGATAAAACAAGATGAAATCAGAGGCTGCTTGCTCTGGTATTTGGATGGGTTTTATAATGGTGGTGTCTGGATGATGGATTGGCATTTTGAATCACCAGTGGGAGGCTCACAGGATGACTATGCAACATGGAAAGAGACCCAGGCCCATCCCCTCCTGTTCCTGTGTCAGAAAAGAGAATGAGCATGCTGATGGGTGTGCTTAACCAAACACAGAGGCAGATAAGACAGTGCAGCGACAGAGATTAAGAATCCCCAGTGGACACAGGGTCACATCACCTTTGCACTTGGTCTGGCAATAGCAACACTGCAGTATAGGTTAGAGTTTTTGAGGGAAGTTCAAGAGCTAGCACCCCTTCTGATCACCCAAAGGCTGAATCACTTGATAAACCAGACAAAGGAGTAAGGAAAGCAGATGATGGTAAATATCACCTTCATTCCAGTTAAAGCTGGTACTGGTAAATGTGGCTTGTATCAGCAGGCCCTGGACTTCCTAATATTGAACCACAGAAAGACTTAGGGACCCTGGCATTGCAGCATTAGAAACTAGAGGCCTCTGGATGAGGAAATAGAAGCTGTACCACTAAGCTTACTGCAAGGCAGAGCAGATGAGAATGCATACTCTCACTGGCCGTCTTCCCAGAGAGGGGACAGGGCTGTGCATGCCCAGCTGCTCTCCCAAAATTGGCAGTTGGAGAAGTCATTCCACTTTCCCAAGGACTGAGTGACTGAATAGTGGAGAGCAGTCAGGAGTGTCACACTAATAGCTGTCCTGCCACATGAAAACACACATTGGGCTGGGAAGAAATGGTTCCCTTCCTAAAGGCAAGTTACAATTTGATTATAGTAGCACATAGTCTCCTGCAAGAATCCAGAGGTTCACTGTATTCCTCTCTCCTTTGTTTCAGATACATTGATCATTACTTGGAGGAGTTCATAACATCTGCTAACAAGCACTTCATGGCTGGTCACAAAGTCATATTTTACATAATGGTGGATGATGTCTCCAGGATACCGTTCATAGAGCTGGGGCCTCTGCGCTCCTTCAAAGTGTTTGAGATCAAGCCTGAGAAGAGGTGGCAGGACATCAGCATGATGCGCATGAAGACCATTGGGGAGCACATTTTGGCTCACATCCAGCATGAGGTTGACTTCCTCTTCTGCATGGATGTGGACCAGGTCTTCCAAGACAATTTTGGCGTGGAGACTCTGGGCCAGCTGGTGGCTCAACTACAGGCCTGGTGGTACAAGGCGGATCCCAGGGAGTTTACCTATGAGAGGCGGGAAGAGTCAGCAGCTTACATTCCATTTGGACAGGGGGATTTTTATTACCACGCAGCCATTTTCGGAGGAACACCGAGCCAGGTTCTCAACCTCACCCAGGAATGCTTTAAAGGAATCCTCCAGGACAAGAAAAATAACATAGAAGCTAAGTGGCATGACGAAAGCCATCTGAACAAGTATTTCCTTCTCAACAAACCCACTAAAATCTTATCACCGGAATACTGCTGGGATTATCACATAGGCCTGCCTGAAGAGATTAGAAATGTCAAACTATCTTGGCAGACAAAGGAGTATAATTTGGTCAGGAATAACGTCTGATTTCAAATTGTGCTGCTAGATTTTCTGAACTTGAGAGAGTATTATTCTGGCCAGTTCCTCAGCAAAGTCATTTTAACTTTGAAAAAATACTAACAAATCACCAACATGGCAGGTGGGTACTATTCCTCCTTGTCACTTTGAGCCTTGAAATACAGGAGAATGAATCTATGCTAATCAGGTGTAAATTCCCAGCATTTTCTTATGTACTCTGGGTTGCGGGGAAATACTATTAGCTGAACCAAAAAGAATTTGCCACAGGCATAGAAAAAGCCAGAACCCTCTGCATGTCAGATATGGTATTGAAAACAGGGTGCTAAGGAAAGTCTTGTTTGGCAACAAGATACTGCAGTAAGGGGTATTGTCTGTGCCCTTGATTTCAGTGTCTTTCTGGTTTTGAAGGGTCTAAAGCCATTCCTGTAGGGCAGAAAAGCTCTACCAGCAGGATGCCTTCTACTTTGGAAATCCTCAAAGGCCTCCAAAACTAATTGCCTCAGGCTATCTGTAGTCTCTTTCCTCTCCTCCTCTGGATATTGTTTGGCTACTGCGGAAGAGATTGGTGGAGATCTCAGCGGGTGTCATGGTCGTGCGTGTTCAGAGACCCAGGGAGCCTGAGCAGGCCGGAAGGTGTTCAGCTCGAAATGAAAACAAGTGCGCAGATGAAGCAGCAAAGCGAGTGGAAAGAGGGGCTGACCACTGTAGGGCTGTGCCGCTCTGGGGCACGGCACAGGAAGTTGGCGCTCAAAGTACATTGTGGTTGCAGGCGCTGAGTGGGAGACAGTGTGGGAGTCTCCAGCCCCCTCGTCCCCATGGCTACCAGCAGGAAGTGGATGGAAGGAGCCATGTTTAGCCCAGCAGACGTGAATCTTCAGCACCTTCGCGAGAAGGGGGTGGTGTCAGAGAAGGGAAAGACCCAGAGGGCGCTGAGCAGGCCTGCCAAGATGGACCTGGACTTCTCCTGAGCTGGTCCCACTGTTCTAAACCTCAGGGTCGCTCAGCCCATCGGGTCCCAACCTGGCGGGCTGACATCAAGGAGTGGACTGGAGAAAAAGCCCTCCTGGAAAGTGACCTCTGGTTTTCCCCTGCTCTGTCTGCACTATGGAAGAGTAACGACCAGATGCGTTTGACAAAGTGGCTGATGAATTTTATGACAGAGGCATGAGTGGATAGCAACGGGAGACCCAGTCATCCGGACTGAATAGCTGAACACTCAGCTCCCTTCTCTAAGAGAAGAGATGACATCCTGCAGATTATAAATTAAACAAATCAACATAACGGAAGTTAGGAGGAAATATTTACATATGCGTATATATTTATATTTTGCTTGTGTTCCAGCTTAGGTCATTTGTTGCCATTTTTAAGCCATTATTTATGGAGCCACTGGCCCAGTTTGATGTGTGCAGTGCAAAGGGCTCCTCGGATAAAATGAAAGCTGCATTTTCTCTACCATCTCTCTGTACCTTCTATTCTTCAGCTGGAAGTTCCCCCACGACCCGAAAGAGCCCCACCTATCCAACAACAAAACAAAAATTCTGACATCACTTAAGATTCATGCTTGCCTATTACTCAAGTTGTATTTGACCCCGGCTAGAATAGGCAGAGTTTAAAAGTTGAAATCCTGAACCAAAGAAATGACCTATCCTGAAGTTCGGAGAAAAGGGGTGAACTAATTTTCACAGTGTTTCTTGATTTTTTAAAAAGTCATTTAAATTTAAATCCTTGATGGACAAGTACAAGATTTTGTTAACAACAGTTTTTAAATAAAATTCCTGATTTATAATTAAACAAATTATTTTCTCAGTATATTCTGGTCTGGTCATGGATTATGCATTTTAAGAATGTCACTTACAGAATTTCCAGTTCTCAGAAAACCCTCATGCCTTTCTGAAAACTTCTGTCCTATTGCAAGGACAGGACTACAAAGAACAGGCTTGAGCTTGGTCCTCAACCTTAAAACAACAAATGCTTACACTGAGCTTTCCAAAATGATACCCTGAAAACATGAACACCAGGAGAAGAACCATCTGGAGCAGCCAGGGTGGGGCATCAGGAGTATCAGTCCTGGCCTCCAAAGGGGTAGGGGGCTGGCTTTCCAGCAAGTCCAAGTAGTTGTATTTATAATGTTAAAAAATTAGAAGTAGCTGGGTTGGTGTAATAAGATGCACTGAATGAATGACAGAGTGTGACTTCCTCGTGATAAGGAATCAGCCCCATCTTATAAATGAAGAAAGTGAGGATCAGAAAGGCTAAACCACCCGGATGGTAAGTGGCTGAGCTGAGGCTTAAACCAAGAAGCACACGAGGATCAATGTGCTGGTGCAGAACATAGGCAGGGACACGTTCTGCGTCAGAGAAAATGTAAATTAGAGAAGAATCTTTCAAGGGGGACTCTTTTTTTCTGCCATAAGAAGTAATGTTTTTAAATTAAAATTTAATTTTAGGTATCTTTCCAGGTCTGCCCCATCTTCCACTTTAATGCACTAAACCTATTTCTGATTCATTAAATACGTTTAAATGCATCACATTAAAAAACAAAAGTCTGTGTGTATGCAGGTCTGATGGCAAACACAGGGGCCCCCGCTGAGCTATGGTGTGGCTGTGCTGTGGAAGGTGTGGTCAGGCAGGGCATCCTACCCACCTCCTCTCCGCATGTAGCCGCAAGAGAAAAGTTCTGCTCAAGGCCTGAAGGGCTTCTTTTTGTCCTTCTTGGGATGACATGTCTTTGGTCTCTCCTAGTCAGTCACCAGCATGTGGGAACCTCAGCTCTGGCCTTTATTAAGTGTTCTATTTCTTGAATGTGCTCTACCAAAATGGATAACATAGACAGGGCAGTCTGCTCACAAGCAGAAGTCAGAAAGAGTGAACGTATAACACGTCACACACCTTTAGACAAATCTCGTCTCTGAAAGGGTACAAAAAGTGCATTGAAGTCCAAGACTGACTCTAGATCCTATGCTCTCTTGACACGACTTCAGGCTGCCTCCTTACCCTCCTTTACACACAGTTTATCCATCCTGGGTTTGAAATTTGGGAACACCCGAAAAATTACCATGGAAAGTTCTCAGTTCCTTTGTTAGGCATTGAAGAGAAAGAATGTTGAGGTGCTGATCTACGGCTGGAGAAACTGGACCTCGAACACGAGCAGGTACAAGGTACAGGTAAACAGGGCTAAGGGGAAAGGAGGAAAGGGAGGGAAGAAAAAAGGAAGGAAGGAAGGAAGGAAGTCTGGGGAGGTGGGGATAGCCCCAGAGGCCTGACTGAACTGAGCTTTGAAAGAAGAGAAGGAATCACTGTGAAGGTTCATTGAATGAAATCTCAGAGGGAGAAGTAGCAGGTATGAAACACAGAGGCCTGCGGTAAGACTGTGAAAGAGATGCAAAGAAATGGTACGAGGGCTTTGGGACTGGAGGAAGTCACCTAGCAGAGCCTGGGTGGAGAGGAGCTAAGAGCAGAAGAGGGCACTGGCTGGCCACACCCTCGCTTCCATTCATCGTTTGCAGCTCTTTGCCTCCAGGAAACCTGGTCTCCCTGAGGGAATCTGTGATTTCTATGGAATCTGGTGCCACGGTTGGAGCAAGCCACCTAGGCTAAGGCCATGGGCCTTTTCCATGCCCCTAGTGGCAAGATTGAGCCAGGAGTGGGTTAGGTGACCCAGACTAATCCAAACGGTGAATTTCAGGCGTTTGACCAGAAATAAGGAGCATGAGATCGAAAGTCCCACTATTGTTTAAGTCAGGTGGCATTAGGTCTTCTCTCACTGTGACTGAAAACGCCCCACTGCATCCATTGAGGGTTAGTTCCTTAAACCCCGGCCCCCAGGCTGCCTTTGCCCTGCCCCAGCACCTATTAGGGTCACCTATCTCAGAGGCCCTGCTTAGCAAACTTGCTAAACGGGTGGATGATGCACCAGCATCTTTACCTTGCCCCATAAAAATTATTTTATTTAAAATTTTTTATTATT